TCTTCAGATGGTTCTGCTCGATCAAGTTTATTCTTTTCCTTGAATTGAGTTCGAGGATCAAGTTCATCTTCTTCTTTAATTGGCTCTTTTCCTGGACATTTCCCACGATCACAAGTCAGGTCATTATTAGATTTCGTTGGGTCAAGTTCCATCTCGGTAGTGTGTGATTCCGAGTTGACGAGAGTTGAGCTTCTTGGTTTTTCTTGATACTCTCTATCATATGCATTGGTTCGCATGATTCATGCCAAGGCTTAACCCATACCATCCCACGAGCTTCATATTGGTCCCCATAATGAGTTCCTTCTCCATGGTTGGTGGGAAATTTCAAAGCATAATGAAAGATCGAGACAGCTGCACGAAGTTTATATAGTGCTGTCCTTCCAATGATGGCATTATATTGATTTGTAAGATCCATCACCTTAAACGTTTCCATAATGACTTTCGAAGCTTGTCCAGGGATTCCAAACCGAATTGGCATAGTAATTTCACCAAGGGTCGATGTAATTGTTCCATTAAAGCCTTGCACCTAATCTTTACAGGGTTTCAACTCGGCTGGGTCAATTCCCATTTGCTCAAATGTTCGTAACATTAAGATGCTTGAATACGCCCCTGTATCTACTAATATACGATGTACCGGTATACCACAAATGGGTGTCGTTATTACTAGGGGATCAGCATGTGGGTGAGCGAAGTAACTAGCATCATCCACATTGAATGTTATGGGACAATTATTTCGAGCGTTAATCTTATCTCGGAGGTCGGTTGTCAAAACAGTTTTACCCGCATTATAAGCCTTTCGGGCATATGCCTTCACTTGCCGCCGCGATTCAATCAACGTATTGCTACTGTTATGGACCCGAGTAACATGGTGAGAATTGTCAGGATTATAGTATCCTCTTCGGTAAATCATTTCAGTATTTTTCAACGAATTATTTTCTTCTGAGCTCATCATAAATACTTCTTTATCACTTGACCTCACCCGTTTTGGATTGATTGGACGTTCCTCGTCTTCATCGTCATCTGGTACATCTAACAATCTTCCCTTTCGTTTATAATCAACATTTTTAGCAAACTTTTGGACTTGAGGGTGTCCAATAAGTCGTAATAAGGCAGAAAGTAAACCAAGGCATTCGTCAGTATTATGACCTGCCGACTTGTGGTATGAACAATATCTTGTCTTATCAAGTCTTTCTTCAGGAGTTCTCACAGGTCGAGGGTCGGGAAGAATTCCTTTCCCTTTTAGTTCTTCAAATATGGTTGCTGCTCCTGCCGAAAAAACCGCCTGATAGCTGGATTTGATTTCGTTAAGATATTTGGTTCTAGCTTCTTGCACCTCCGGCATCTTAGGATTCCCGAATCGAGATTTATTTTGTTTGAAGAATTTATTTTTCTTCTTTTTTGAGTCTTGTCTGACTTCTGACTTAGGTGAAGAAAAGTCGAAATTAGGAACTGACATTGATTCTTCAGCTATAATATGTTGTTGACCTCGAGCCACGAAATCTTGAAACGAAGTCGGTTTATTCTGACAGATACTCCAACGGAACAATGAGTTTGGCTTCAATCCAGCTATAGCTGTGACTAACAACGTTTCAGGATGACATTGTTCCATATTTTGTATACGTTCATTAAACCGAGTAATACAGTCTTTGACACTTTCATCGTCTTTTTGCACAATATTTGCAATTGATTCTTTGGGAATTAAAGAAACTCGAGCCCCAATGAAATGAGATCGAAAAGCCGTTCTCAATTGTTGCCATGTGGAGATTGAACACCGAGGTAAGGAATGGTACCACTTTTGGGCTCGAGGTCCCAAGGTCAATGAAAACATCCGACATCTGAGTGCCTCGGTTGTTCCATGTAGGTCCATCCATGAAGTATATTGACCAATATGAGCATCAGGATCAGAAGTTCCATCATATAAACCGATCTGTGGAACCTTTACCTTAGTTGGAAGAGGCTCCCTAGTCAAATGAGGAGCTAAAGGAGTCTCAACCTCTTGATACGTCCCTTCCGTCGTTGGAATTTGTCGTCGTGATTCCTCATGATCATCTTGCCGAGTTTCTAACTCAGCTATTCTTTTTCTTAACATTTCCAGCTCCTCTGATTCACGTCTTTGACGATTTCTTTCGATTAAACGACGCAATTCATTTTGCTCACGACGAATATGATTTTGTTCAAGAGTACGCCGTAAATCAGACGGTTGATTATGTTGTAACGTTTCTGGTAACGAAGGAGCTGGTTGTGAGGTCGACGTCCAGAATGGCTTTCGGCAGTTGCTTCTGATCGAACTGCTTCTGGAATATGAGTTTGTACAGGAACTACTCCACGATTTTGGGTTGCAACGTCATGTTGTGAATCATGTGTTCGTGGATGAGAAGTTGCATGTGACGTTACAGGAATATCATTTCTTCGTGGAACTGGTGCAGGATGAGTTTGTGGATTAACCGCTGCGGTTGGTTCTATTCTTGTTCGTGCCATAAAATCAGTTAAATTTTTCAAGAACTCTGGATCTTGAAACAAAACGGAATAATCAATTGATGTTGATGGCACAGCAGAATTTCCAGTTGTATGAGTTGGGTGACGATTGATTCCAATATCTGGATTACGTTCATTTCGCCCAGAATTTGACATCCTTGTTATATGTGTGTAGATTTAAACAAACAACCGATCGAAGGTTCAAGCCCGCCCTTCCTCTAGCGCCAAATTGTTGTTGTCTAGAATTAAGAACGTGAAATTAAATACAGCTGATGTGTAAATGATTGAGATAAGTGTAAAATTGGATTTTATTTGATATAGTCACAAGAGTACAAGAGTCGGTTGTGTATTGTAAACCGAGATCATCATAAGTTCATGTACAATGTGTTGGAAAAGATCCTTGTACTATCATAAATTCTGCTATTTATAGTACGGTAATTTTTGTCTTCTTGCTCGAAATGGATAAAGACACATTTAATGTTGAGCTGCTTTACTTTAAGCGGTGGGAAACATCAATGATTGCTTTTTCGTTTTGCTGGTCCAATCAGATGCTTCCAGCTTTGTTTTCTGTTTGGATATTTGGACTTTGTAGTAGCCGGTTGAGATAGAAGAAACTTGGCTTATCGTACCATAATATTTGTTGAACCAAAGTCGGATTGAACTGAAGTCGGTTTACTCATGTCCATTTCAATAGTCGGTTCCTTCGATAATCTTCGGAAGTCGGTAATTAGTTCTAGTTAATACCGACTCGTCTTAAGTTCTTCCGAGAGATTAGTTCTTCAATAAAAATTAATCTTTTTCTTCAATTTCTATAACCAAGTCGGATATCAACAAATATCTACCAATTCTTTAAATGATAGCTTCTCCCCAATGCTAAATGAACCATCCGGAGAGTTTTTAAAATCAGAAAAATCATATAACAACTCCTTCGGAACATTCCAATACACATTAACAAAGTATGGTCCGGTAGACGCCATTTATACCTGTTGCAAAAAATAATTCTTCCCAATTACAACAACACATACTTTCTAACCCAACACCCAAAAAATTCAATTATTCTTTTATCATTCACACAACAAAAAAATAAAATTCATCAATAACATATAAACACTTTCAATTCTTCCCAATTACAACATCACATAATCTCCCAAAAATTTCAATTATTCTTTTACTCAATTCAAGATAAGTATTTCCAATTAATACTACAATAACAAAAAAAAAATCAAATGTTCTTTTATAAAATAACTCTCCAAACCCTAATTCTCATAATCCAACAATACAATACAAATCATCCAATTTCCGCAAAAATTCTCAAGATACACCGAAATCCATCATCAAAGAACAATGTATAATCATTTAACACAACTATTAAATCAACAATAAATCTTTTCTAAACTATACTCATCAAAAACCAACAAATATTTCTTACAAATTCATAAACAAAAAAAAAAATATGTAATTACATTATATTAAAATAACAACTAACCTCTTCTCCGAATCAATTGATTGTTAAAAGCTTTTTTTTTTATTTTTTTTTATTTTGAGGTGAATAATGGATGGAAGGAAGTGAATTTTTTTTTTTCCTCGCAGCTCGCAGAAGCAGAAGAAGGCAGAATGGAAATGGAGGAAACCCGATTTTTTTTTTTACTTATATTTTGTTAAAAACCGTATTTAGTAAATACGTTTTATATTTTTATTTAATTAAAAAACGTATTTCTTATATACGTTTTATTTTAATTTAATTTGTTAAAAATTAATTAATATTAAAAACCGTATTCATGAAATACGTTTTATAAAACGAAAATTGATTTTTTTATAAAACAAAAATTAATTTATTTAGGCTTTAGGGTTTCCAATTTAAATTTGGGGTTTTCTTTAAAACGTATTTCGTAAATACGGTTTATAATTAAATTGTATATACATTTTTTTTGGCAATATGTTTTTTAAAAAAGTAAACAAATATAATTTAAGGACGTATTTGCTAAATACGTTTTTCATTAAAAATAAAATTACGAAAACGTATTTATTAAATACGACTTTTTATTTCGGTCTACCCACTTTTTTTTTTCCACTTATTTTTCAATTTTTTTTTTTAAATAAATCACTCGGATGAGGTGTGTGTTAAAGGATTTTTTATTTTATTTTATTTTATTTTATTTTATTTTTGTGTTAAAGGGTTGTAGATACCCTTATAGATATACTCTAATACTGCACGTGATCCACAGTAAAAGTATTTACCTAAAGGTCCTCTTCCCTATGTCAATAATCCATCAAAATCTTGTCTTTTGTCGCTCTCACCAATTGATATGTGTGTCAATTTTTATATGAAAAAAAATCAACAATCAATCTTCGTGCGATGATCGGTCATATCTCTCATCTCTCTGCAGCCCCGGCGATACTAGACAAATCCCCTTACTTTTGAACCCAAAATCGTCATCTCAAACGTCATACTTCCCGTCCTTTTTTACCCCTTCACTCCTATTTTACTTTTCCAACTCGTTAATACCCCATTCATTTTTATTTTCATTTATTTATTTATTTTTCCTTGATACCCATTCATATCCACAAACTTGTATACATATCAACTAACAGATGAGAGACGACCATTCTACTTCTCATTCTCTCTCTAATCACACACACATATTAGATTCCAATCACACACACATATTAGATCAATGGATTCGCCACACCCACACGTGCTCCTCGTAACTCTCCCAGTCCAAGGCCATATCAACCCATCACTCCGCTTCGCAAAGCGGCTCTTGAGTATGGGCATTGAAGTCACCTTTGCGACGAGCGCCCACGCCCGACAACGGATGGAGAAAACCCCTATCGGCCTTTCCTTCGCCCTCTTCTCTGACGGCTTCGACGATGGACCAAGACGACCACAAGAAGCATATGTCCGAGATAAAGAACCAAGGCTCCCGGGCCCTCAGGGACACCATTCTCAAAGCCTCCGATATGGGCCGACCCGTGACGTGCCTCGTCTACACTCTCCTCCTCCCGTGGGCCTCTAACGTGGCCCGAGAGTTCCAAATCCCCTGCGCCCTCCTCTGGATCCAGCCTGCCATTGTTCTCGACTTGTACTATTACTATTTCGATGGCGCGTTTGGCGATATTAGCAGCGACAGCGTTCGCCTGCTGGGGCTCCCGCATATCACCTTCTCCAAGAGGGACCTTCCCTCCTTTGTTTCTCCTTCCACCTCGGATATGTATGTAAAAAGAGCCAAATTTTATGCAAATATACCTACAGCGACTTAATTTACGCTTCTGCCCCTGCAGGTACGGTTTAGTGCTCCAGGCCTTCAAGGAGCAGTTCGACGCGCTGGATGCCGAGACGAGGCCGAAGGTTCTAGTCAACACGTTCAACGCGCTCGAGCCCGACGCGCTCCGCGCCGTCCAACTCTACGAAATAATCGGCATGGGCCCGCTCGTGGACGCTGATGATCGGCCCTCGTTCGGGGGGAATCGGACGGCTGCATCGAGTGGCTCGACTCGAAGCCCAAATCGTCGGTCGTGTACGTCTCGTTCGGGAGCATCCTGAGCCTGGAGAAGGCGCAGATGGAGGAGATCGCGAGGGGGCTGCTCGGTTCGGGCAGGCCGTTCCTGTGGGTGGCACGGGAGTCGGTGGGGTGGGTGGAGGAGCTTGTTCGGGAGCAGGGGAAGATTGTGGGGTGGTGCCCGCAGATGGAGGTGCTGGGGCACGGGTCGGTGGGATGCTTCGTGACGCACTGCGGGTGGAACTCGACGCTCGAGAGCTTGTGGTGCGGGGTGCCGGTGGTGGGGTTGCCCGTGTGGTCGGACCAAGGGACGAACGCGAAGATGATTGAGGAGGAGTGGGGGACTGGGCTCAGGGTGGGGCCCGGGGAGGACGGGAAGGTGTCCGGGGAGGAGATCACGAGGTGTATCGAGAGGGTAATGGAGGGAGGGGAGAAGATGAGGGAGAATGCGGGCAGGTGGAAGGGTCTGGCGAGGGAGGCCGTGGCTGAGAATGGATCATCCTATAGGAATTTTAAGGCCTTTTTCAAGGAGTTGGAGATGGGGCATTTGAGTGATTAGTTTGTGTTTTGGTTGCTAATTTTTTTTTCTTTTTTTCTTTTTTTTTCCAAAGTTCAATTGCTTTTTAGTGTTTTGAGTTGTTCTATAGTTGATCAGTTTGGTCAAGTCGTTTCTTCAGGTTTATCGTTTTTCTTATCCTTAAATTTTTTTAAGGTCAATTAAACCTAGACGTGTTCACACCAGGCCCGGCCCGGCCCAACAGGTCGTCGGGCCACTACACATGGCCCCAGTTCAGATTGGAGGTTCAGGGTGGTGCTGGATGACATTAAGGTCTTGATATCTGGTTTTCTGTTTAGTGACATTAAAGTATGGTTTTAGTTTGTTTTTGGTTTGGTGTTGTTATTGTTAGTTTGTTGTGTTTGTTTTTGTGTGAAGGCCGTGTGAGGTCCTTAGGGGATTATTGTAGGGCTGACATTTTCTGATCGAAAACCGAACCGAACCGACCGTACCGACTTATTTAAAATGGTAACCGATTATCGGCTACCGACATGTTATTGGTTCGGTAAAGGTTCCGAAACCATAAAGGTTCGATTTTACCGAACCGAACCTATAAAGAAATTAGAAAAAATTAATAGTTAATACTTAATAACTTAATAGTTAGTCCCTTAGGGCTCGCTTGTTTACAAAATAATCCATCCAAAGTGTGTTATTTTGGTTAACTATAGTTAATTTTAAAAAAGTTAGTATGGTTAGTTGTTATTGGGATTTAGGAATGTATTAAAATAATATGTAAAGTAAAATATTTAAAATTAATTTGATGTAAAAATCAGTCTTTTAAAAGTCGCTAGGCGCCCGCTAGGCGCTCGACCAGCGCCTAGTCAGGGCCTAGGCGGCGCCTAGTCGGGGCCCAGAAATTAATATTAAATACCTTAATTTTTATTTATTTTAACTACCAACAAAATAAAACTATCTCAACTTATAGTAAATTCACACACCAAAGTTCAAATAATAATATTAATAAATTAAAAGAAAACATGAGAACAAAATAATGTAATTAGTATTTAAAAAAATAAAATAAAATAAAAAACTGAAAATTTGCCGCCGAGCCCGCTTAGGAGCGCCTAGGTCCGCCTACGCCCGCCTAGACGCCGCCTAACCGCCTGGCTGCCGAGCCCGCCAAGCCCGCCTAGGCGCCGCCTAGCCGCCTGGCCGATTTTTTCTGCCGATTTGTACAAATCGGAGGCGCCCGGCACCGCCTAGCGCCTAGGCGGCCGCCTAGGCCGATTTTTAGAACAGTGGTAAAAATAGGAAATAAATGATTGGAAATGATAGGTAGTTAAAATTATGTGAGTAAATGAATAGTGAACTAAAGTTTATGGGATGTGTAAGAATGATTGGATTGTATTATTTAATTATATTAATAATATTAAAAATAGTGGGATTGAGTTAAAGTTGAGTTAAATTTTGAGTATGAATGAATGTGAGTAAAATAATTTACAAACAATCATTCCCTTAAAATTAGCCTCAATTTTTATTTTTTTTTAAATCATGTGAATTAAAAAGCCAAAAAGGGCATGGTGACTCATCAGCCCTCCCCTCCCCTCACCTGATGACATGGATAACGTGGGAGTCTCCAAAGTGATAAGAGCTCATCAAAAGAAGTTTTTTGATCTTGACAACAATAACCGAGGTCATTTTCTGAGGATATCTGAGAGGTGTGATGAATTTATTTATTCTCCAAGATACATAATGACTATCGAATTTCGTTTCATCCATTATTGTTAAAACTTTGCAAAACTACAGATGACTTGTTTCTCAGTGGTGAACATCTGAAGCCTTTGTTGCTGCTTCATTTTTTTCCTCTTTTTTCGGTTTTTATTGGTTTAAACCAAAACCAAACCGTTTTATCAGTTACCAAATTTTATCGGTTCGGTTTCGATTTGAATATTAGTAAAACCGAACACGTTCGATTCCTTATCGATTTTATGTTATCGTTCGGTTATCGAATCGATACCAGCCATTGATTATTGATATTCAATATTCCCTCTTGGTTGTACTTTGCCTAGACTGGGTTTCGACAAAGTTTAACCCAACCATTTGGTTGGTCCGTTTGTATATTTCAAGTTATGTTTATAAAATTTGATGCTTTGAGGAAAAAAAAAAGTACTCATCATGATTGATAAATAAGCTTGGTTGGGAATTATTTGTTATTTTCCATGTACATGAGAATTGCATATAAGTTCTGTTGAATAAANAGTCGAAATGGTGTACATAACCGATATTATTTCAGTTTTCGTACCTTTTGCCTTATTAGCCATGGAGTTGATAGATTACACCATAACATGGAATATCATATCATTTTTATTTTATATTTTTGGTATCACAAAAATCCTACTATATTGACTCAATTTTACTTTCTATTTTATTATTATTACTATTCTTTTTTTGGTAGCCAACCACGGTATCCAGAGCTATACCCCGACTAATTCGTTGGTCGACCCGAGTCGCACACCTGGCAGTTATGGGTAAATCTCCCAACTAGGGTTTTCTGCATCCACAAGGACTCAAACCCGAGAGGTTGCTTAAGCAACATCAAACAACTTACCACTTGAGCCAACCCTTTTGGTTTTATTTTCTATTTTTGGTATCACACAAATCATATATATTGACTCAAAAATTATCGTGATCATATCAAGTCAACTCTTCCTCATCGTTTTCTATTTGTATCAAGCCTTGTCGTATCATGTAACTGTTGTGATGACATGATACACAACACGATCACATCACTATCGTATGGACATGAAACAAGATACAATCACACGATTGGCCAGCCCCTTAGTTTTCCCTTTCCCTAAAGATGTTAATGATAAATACTATAAATCTCCATCTTATACAATAATTGCATACATTAAAATTGTTTGTTATTTATGTCTAGATGAAATCCACCTATCACGACCACTGAACACAGAAAACATTCCTTAATCAGATTCCACAACAAAGAACATTGTCCCCTCCACATGTTTCCAGTTCCTAACACATGATGAAAGAGTACAAAAACCAAAAGCATATCTATCCCAGCTGCTCCATTGCACCAAACAAACCCGAAAGGAGAACATGACAATTGAAATTGAAAATATTGCAATGAATCCAGAATAAAATTATATGAACCTGAAACCAAATCCTGTGATCCCTAAAAGAAGACGAACTAGACTGGATCACAACAGTGTCCGTACTCTTGACTGCGGTTTGGGTTTTGCCTATGATTAAGCATGCTAATTTCCAGCATAACAGAGTACAATATTTACTTATCAGTTTGCGCTCAAGGTTGCAAAGATGGATCGGTCTTGACATCAAAACCAGGAGGGACGAAAACGACATCGTCCCATGAAGATGTCGAACTATCCTGCAAAAGCAAAAGCGAAATTTGAAGATACCTATACTCGAGTCTTTTCTTAATTTGTTCTACATATGAAACTAGTTAAAAGACAAAAGGCCACTAAAGGTTGTTCATGCTGTTAGAATGATTATTAGTGCAGGCAGGCAGTGCAGTGAGAAAGGTTGATAAGTAACTTAAAAAAAAAAAAAAAA